ATTAAAACAAATATATGTAATCATATTATTACTTATATAAGAAAGGTAAATAAGAAATATTTTCACAATTAATATGTATAAAATATAACTTATTGTTTATACAAAGTAACAGAAAGGAATTGTAACAGTTCTATTATGAAAATAACAAGTAATAACAATTACTTCTTTGGTTTCCCATTCACTATCCGCATAGCGTGATGAAGATGATACATCAACAATGTGTCCCCTCACGTACCGTCGAGAAGACGTTCCACTAGCTGTTGATTGTGCCATGGTAAATGAAAATGTAACCTATAATACCACTTTTTTATGAATGAATATACGTCAATCACGATTTATTTCTTCCCGAATTAAATTGTTTTCCGAATTTATATATAATATCAGTGTCTTCTTTACACTTTCATTCGCATCATATTTAAAATAATAGCAGTTTAAACACAATTCCTTTATAATTGTAATCTTTATACATCACATATATTCATCAGAGCTGACCATTTGTATTATCTATATATAAACATACATACATATATCCACGGATATGCCTATACGGTATGTACTTCGTAAAAAGAGATAGAACTAGTGCAGATAGCTGTGTATAGGTCTAAGAGTTAACTATGAAATCATTGTGATGAAAAAATTACATAAATCAGTCACTTAGTGATAAATAAACGATATCGGAAAATTCGGAAACTTAAAATAAAGATTGTATATCCGTATATACATTTAGTATTGTTATATTCATTTTAATATGAATTTCAGATTTTATAAAGTCACATGTACTGTATATAGTAATGCGAAGTGTCAAACAAAGCAAGAAATTGTACATAATATATAATTTTAATTAAAAAAGAAAAGTATTTGAAAATAATTTTTCTATGTTGCGGAAAACCATAATTTTGAAGGATTTGCAGTGTTACATTACAAATTTATATTTCATTCATGGATAAAAATATTGCATAAAACAAAATAACAATGAATACTGTAAAAAATAGTTGTGAAATTGGAAATGGATTGGATGATCTTGGAATAGCAGGACAAGGTTTCTTGAGGGATGCTTTAACAAGCTGCACAGATCCATTGAAAGCAATTGAAGAATTTCAATTAGAAAATGGCATTTTATTGCCATCCTTAAGACCTATGTTACCTTTACTTGATCTTCATGGAGTAAGAAGATTAGATTTCCATGCCTCAGTTCTTGAAGAGTTAAGGGAAAAATTAATAAAAAGAATTAATGAAATTGGAACAGAAAGGGCAGACAAAGGTTCAACAGGAGACAGAAGATTAAAAGAGTTATTGTCTAAAAGTTTTCCAGCTGTAAGAGTTGCAGCTCTAAGGCCAGTTGTTATGTGTATTTTAAGAAATACACCACATATAGAGGATAAATATTTACGAGTACTTGTTCGAGAAAAAGAATTATATAATGATGCAGACACTGAAGTTAAGCGACAAATTTGGAAAGATAATCAAAGTCTATTTGGAGATGAAGTATCTCCATTATTTAGCCGATATATCATTGAAAAAGAACAGATATTATTTGATCATCGAAACTTAAATAGTCTCTTCTTCATGCCTTCTCCCAAGGTATATTAGAAATGAGTGTTTAAAACAAAAATTTTTAATTTTTTGAAATTGTATAATTTATATTTAGGTAAGAAGGCAAGGTGAAGTGGTACAGAAATTAGCTCATATGATTGGACATAGTGTAAAATTATATGATATGGTATTACAATTCTTAAGAACCTTATTTTTACGTACAAAGAATATACATTATTGTACATTAAGAGCTGAATTGTTAATGGCTTTACATGATTTAGAGGTAACATATAGGTTATATTATATTTATATTATGTAGTATTATATTAAATTAATATAATATTGTCTAAATTTTTAATATTTAGGTACAAGATATTATTTCTGTTGATCCATGTCACAAATTTACTTGGTGCCTTGATGCATGTATTAGAGAAAAAAATGTTGATATTAAAAGGTCCCGTGAGTTACAAGGTTTTTTGGATAGTATTAAGGTACATAAAGAACTAAATTTACATTTAATAATACTACCTCTTTACTTATTGATAGAAAGGTGAAATGATCTATAGTTTTGTGCAGAGAGGTCAAGAACAAGTACTTGGTGATTTAAGTATGATATTATGTGACCCATATGCTGTAAACTTCCTTGCTAGTAGTGCAATTAAAATTGCACTTCATTTGATAAATGGTGAAGCACTACCTAGAGAAAATGCAGTTCTTGTATTGTTACTGAGAATGCTTGCATTAGGTTTATCTGCTTGGCAAATGATCGACTCACAAGACTTCAAAGAACCAAAACTAGACAGCCAAGTTGTTACAAAATTTTTACCAGCACTTATGTCTTTAATGGTAAATTTATGTACATTTATAGCAATGTATAACTAAACATATATGGCAAAGTTTGCATAATAAATCATTTATTTTTCAGGTAGATGATCAAATAAGACAACTGAATTGCAAACTTCCACCTGATGAGAGGGAAAGTGCAATTGCCATAATAGAACATTCTGGTCCTCCTCCTGATGCTTGTCAAGCATATGCACAACTTTCAGGAGTTGCTGCTGTTCTATCTATGTATTATGCCTTACATATAGGAGGTGGTGGTGGAGTTGGAAGGGGAAGAGGTGATGCTAGAGGTTTAATGAGAGTATTGGCTACTTTACCAAATTGTCAAGCACAACGTGCATTTGAAGACCCTTTCTTGCACACTTTAGTGAGTTCATCTACCATAGAAGTTGCATAATTTTTAATTATATAATGTAAAATTAAATTTCATATGCTTTTGCAGGTTTCTTTATTAATATTAAATATGGCTGATGAATTTTCTAATGAATCATTCTGTACAGTTATATTTGATGAATTTTTCCTAGCAGGATTAGGCAGAGATAATGTTACCCGACATTTATTAAAGCTACTTTGGTATATTCACCCAAAGTTACCGCCTACTCGTCTTCATACGCTAATGAAAGCACTCCAACCAACTAGTCAGGTAATATATTTTAATTTACAAAAATAAAATATGAAATGATTATATCTACTTTATAATTACACTTATCATTTAAGCACAATGAAGCAGTTCATAATCTCTATGAAGCTTTACGTGACAAAATTGGAAATCGTTCAACAGAAGATCAACTAACAACAACAGCACAAATGGATACACTAGGGCTTGAATGTCCACCTTCTCCACTTACTGGTGTGCCTACACCAGTTTCGTGTTCACTCTAAATAATATGTAATTAAATTTTTTGTATTAAGATATTTAGAAATATGGTTTACTATATAGTTTTACTTATGAATAGCTATATTTTCTATTGTATACGCGATTTATTTTTTCTTACAGAATAATGAGTTTAAAATGTAATAAAAATTTCGTAATTTCATATAAATATTCTAAATTGTATATGAAAATGTTTTCTATTTTTGTTCTACTTATATTAATCAATAAATATAAAATCATATATTTTCAACATAATATACAATATTTAAAAGAATAAATATAGTGTACATAATTTAAACCGCATTATAATTTTTAACATTGTTCGCGTTTGGTACATCTATATTATTAGTCAATTCTGTCACTAATCTATCTAAATAATTTGAATCCAGCTTATATGACATCAAAATCATTGAAATATACATTGATGCCTGTTTGGTCGACAGTAAAACTTTTAATTGTGGATCTATCATACTCAACCTAAACAAAATGTATTAAAAAATTAATGATTCTTATTGTAATTATATATTTTTTCCATCACAGTACTTACATTTTTATAATAATAAGACCTACTAGAGTCCATTCTGCCGTTTTAAAAATAATATTTGCAGCGGACAGTGAAAACGTATTAACCAATGCTTTAATTAAAGCACTTTTTTCACTGTATATGTATTGTGGTAATTTATAACTAGACAGAGCTCTTAATAAATCGGGCAATCTATAAAAACACAGGATTAATAATAAAGGTTAACATTAACAAAAATATAAAGTTATAATATTAAACAGATATAAAAAATTATATTACATTCTACTAAGTTTATCTAAAAAAATTCGACGACGAAGTGTTTTAGGTGCATGTGCATCCGTTAACGGTAATACTGGAGTAAAATCATTATCTTTTTCAATATCTTCTGTGGTATTCACAGGATTTTCTATAGACACAGTGCCTTTGTAAAATGCTCGCACCTGAAAATAATAATTACTTATATAGAGATATATATTATCTATATGAGGACATGAGTACTTATATATGCAGATTTTGCTTACTTTTAATTCCATTTTTTTTCCTTCCTCTTGAAGAACAGACAAATGAGGTAATGGTTTCAAAGTATCTGTAGTTAAATCTGTACGATCATCTTTATCATCTTCTAATTGTAATTTATTTAATTTTTTACACAAATGTAAATATCTGTCATGTTGTGCTACATTTTCTAATAACCGGTGTTTAACATCTTCTTCTCCTGATAATAAACAAAGGGTATCTTCAGTAATCCATTCTTTTATACTATGTTCAATATGCATTACAAGATTGTAAAATTCATTTGATTGTTTTACTTTGATAGAATTTTTTTGCTGATGTTCTGTACTTTTACTTTTTTCTACTTCTTGTATACAATCATTATTGTTAATATTAGTATTTTGTTTTGTAATGGTTATATTGACCTCTGTTTCCAGTGTTTTAAATAATTTACTTTTTTCTTTTTTATTTTCTATATTTTCATTTAAAGAACAATATTATCATTTATGGATTCTTGTACACTGTTATCTTTATCTTCTAAATTAGTAGTTAAGTTTTTCATATCTTCAGATGCTATGTTAAAGTTTTTCAAAGATTGCTCTCTAAAAACATCTGATTTTTCAATAATATTGTTTATTTCTATGTTTTCATTATTTGTTTCTACTATATTATGTTCATTATTTACATTAACTTCTGAACATTGACCAGCAGACATAGTTTTTAAATTCTTGCAAATTGTATTACTTTCTACATGTGTTTCCTTGTTTTCAGGAGTCAATACCATATTCATATCTTGTACATGAATTTCATCTCCAGGTATACTTTTTTCTAATTCATCTTTTACTGGTAGTACTTTGAATTCTGGTATTTCTTCTTTATCTCTTAACCAAAGAGGACTTGTGAGTATTTGTTCCAAAAGATAATTACAAGCTCCATAACAACGTGAACTACAAAAATTTTTACGTCTAGTTACATCATAAACTTTATTTTTTTTTGTTGATATGTGATATCGTTGATCAATTATAGTTGTTAATGCATTATTGCACAAAACATAGCCACATAATTTTACTATAGCCCTTTCTTCAATTACATCTTCCATATGACTTCTGTTAATGTACCTTAACTATAAAAATTAATAACAGTATAAATGCACAAAGTAAATTACTAAATTATTTGAATGTTAAAAATTATACTCACATTGCATAAAAGCCACTGAGAATCTATTTTAGGTTCTAAAAGTTGTTCAACAATCTTGAGAGCTTTAGCATCACATTGTTTCTTTTTAATTATTGCTAATTGCATTTGTGCCTTGCTTAAACAAAAACATATTACATACAATAAATGTATTGCATTAATTTTTTTTATATTATACTCAGATTAGCAATTATATTTTTAAATATGTTCACAAAAAACTAGTCTAACCTCATTTTCTTTTTCACCTTCTTTTTTTCAAATGCTTCTTTCTTTGCAGTAGATGTATCCATTTTAAAATAATGATTATAAATGAAAATATATTGTTATTCCTGTGGCAGACACCACACAATTGTAACTCAACAATTTCTTTATTTTTAATGGTTGTATTGTAAATAAAACTAGATGAGATACAAAAACATTACTCGCCTCTGTGTTAAACTAACTAGACGCATGATAGAAGTACGTCACCCCTCCCTTTTCTCCAGGAGCTGTGTCGTTCCCTGGTGACGCTATGTGTAGTTATTCACACGTCGCCATACTCTCTATGATCTGTGCCTACTGTGCAGTTCTTGTGTACTGAACTTAAATATTCATTTATAAAAAATATGTCTTGGCATATGAAATATGAACTTAAATATTCATTTATAAAGAATACGTAGAAACGCGTAATAATCGAGAAAATCGAAAACTCCCGAAATTTGAAATAAGTAATACAGAAATATGTAAGCAAGGAAAGGAATACATGTAGACAAGGATAGCACTAGTCAAATGAGTGATGCAAGGAAAAGAATCGGAGAAGACAAGGATAGCAATAGATAAACGAGTTAGACAAGGAAAGGAATAGGATTAGACAAGGATAGAAAATTGTCATGTGACGGTATCCATCGCGACCCGCCAAAGCGAAAAGCGTGTTCGTTTCCAGGATACCGACGAACGCCCGAAGTGATAAATATGTGCGGGTGGGAACTCCAGCGCCACCGTTTTCTTTAGTTTTGTTTCAACAGGAGTAGCTACCAGCGACCGAGGGTCAGTTAGTCAAAGTCAGTCAAGGGCACTGGAGTGGAAACGGTCAGAGGTCAGAGTGTAAAAAACAAATTGTAAAACAAGCGTCAAAAAATAGAAGATTTTATATTTTATATATAGTGTTAAATAGTTTTCAAAAGTTGGAAATATAATATTGGTTAAATTATATTTTATTTATTATATATTACTCGTGTGGTAAAATAGACACCTCTAAAGAAAACTTCCTGCTCCTACTTCCCGCTTGGGTAGATAAAGAAGAACGCGTCTTGTAGCAATCCCTGCCGACACTCCGCACAAAAATTGTTAATAACTAATTACTGAAAGGATTTATTATAATAAAATCTATATGTGAAAGTTGCTAAAGGTCCACACTTCATTCTTCAATCCTAAAAGTTCATAAATTTATCGTAAATAATGAGTTATTAATAATTTCTCCCTCGTCAACTTTATTTAGCGCTGGGTGGCGGCCATTGCGGCCCGCGGACCAATAGGAAACGTTTTCTGTCCATCCTTCTCGCACACTAGTGCTTTTCTTGTCTAATACCTCTGTTTACATTCTGTGTTCCTATTAAAAAGTGGTAGTTAACGTCACCAAACAAGAGATGGCGTTAGTTTCACTTTGAAAAATTTCTGTCCTTGTCTAACCCTATTTCTTTCCTTGTCTAACTCGTGTATCTAATGCTGTCCTTGGCTTCCATTATTCTGTTTCTTATCTCACTCATTTCTTTAGTGTTATCCTTATCTACCGCTATTCATTTCTTTGTCATCCCTATTATAGAATATTTAATTGATACTTATGATATATTTTTAATGGTTTTAACAACACTAATGATGCAGACAGTAAAATAAAATTTCTGCTTTATTTTCAAGTACTTTAATTATATAACAATTAGTGTTTCTTGTTAGATAACAATTTAAATGGTACTTTATAATTATGAAAAATATTAAATAAATTTGTTGGATGATAACTTTTATTAAAAATTGAAAAATTAATTTTCTTTTTGTGTGAATTACAGATGAAACTTTCTGACCATCACAGGAAATAAGGAAAGAACTTGAACATCAGGAAAAATGAAGAAATGCAATTATTTATCGTAAAATAACTGTATAAAGTGTATTTTACAAAAGGTTACAATATTCCAGTATTGTTTTACAGCATTTAACAGTTTATTTATTTCTCCTTTACACACTACATCCAATTCCTTTTGCAAAACACTCATTCTTGAAATAATATTCCATTACAAAATTAAATGAAGTAAGTCCGGATATCGTTAGAAACGCATAACATAAATTCCAAAATTCGAGCAAAAAACTTCAAAAATTGTACGAACATAACGTCGAAGATGTGATTATTTACATTGATATACAGACTTGTATACATATATACACAAATAAGAATTAGAGCAATCATTGAAGATTTGGGACTTGCGAGAGAATTGAAGATTTAAGAAGATTTGATGAGAACATCTGGTGGTCACCGTTCGAACCACTTCGATGTTTGGGTAATTTAAGAAATCCACAAATATCCGCTTGGAAAGCCCAGAGCGTCTAGGGACGTCACAATATTATGACATTTGTATTACTGAATATAGAGAATTGAAGATTACTGCCTCTTATTATATCTAAGCATAATTATCAAATATATTTACATAATAGTTTACACTTTCACATTATTTTGAAGAATGTTTTAGTAAATTTTTTTATTTTTCGTAGTTAAATGATAACCGCATTAAAGTTGGTTAACCTGCCTTTACGATTAATCAAAATCTAAACAATTAAAATTTTTTTTTAAATTATATATAGCTTCACACTAAAGAAATTGAATTCATATATTCTTTATAGTGGAATGTGAACAAAGATTTATTGCAGTTATATAAAAATTAACAATATAAAGTAGGAAAATTTAATGGATTCTAGTTTGATTGTTAACGCACTCTAGTGGTGATTTAAAGAAACATTCAACCGGCTGTCTTGTAGAGGTAGAAGTCTACCGAAGTAGATGGAAAAAGAGACCAGTAGAGTGTGACTGGTTGTATGGTGTGATCTTGGAGTAGTGTTACGTTTTCAGTATTATCTTGTTGTGCTCGCCATGACGTTGGTTTGAAATTGTATTTCAAAATATTAATCCCGATGTTGGTCGCAGGACTGTGCCAATGTAGTTTTCATGCTTTTAACGAGGAGAGAATCCGGGGAGGCAATTCGTGGATACCGAAGAAAGCTTCAAACACGTTTGAAGCTTTCGAGGTCGTATTCATGGAACTATGAACCTGGACTCGTTGTCTTTTACTTTGTCACAAATCAGTTATTTGGTTGCGAATTTAAATAAGAAAAATTTTCGGGAAAGCTGCCAAGAAATATCAATTGTAAGTAGAAAAAAAACCTGTTGTACTACTGCATCTCTTATGCCCACCCCTTCCACCTTCTGTTCATCACACGCCGTCCTCGAAACAGCGCAATATGCTTCGTGAATATTATTACGAATTACGTTTAATTTCACATACCAAAATAAACTTTTCAATGAAAGAAATTAAACGTGGATGTATATATAAATTAATATATTTATTTTATAATTATTGGCAATTTAGTATTCACGCGGCATGAAATACATCTTGAACTTAGCCTCTTTCCGTGATTTGTATGTGTTCCAACGTATTATTTCGAACGATGTAACTTTGTACCTTTTTCAATGCACGTTTCTAGAACTGTAATAATAATAATGTTTCAATTATTTAACGAGTAAAAAATTCTTTAATATCTATTTAGTTTAAAGTTACTTTAAATGTTTTCCATTCAAACAGTTTTTTTTGTTTTCATTACTGCTAATATAATGATGTGGTATAGGTCGTATTTAATATATTTATTTTTATACAAATATTTCATGTATGTTATTATTTCATTCCAAAATTCATTATTCTATTGTAGCTGGTACAGTCGAAGGGTTTGGAGGCAGACAGACATTTGCTGCGCTCTTTACTCTCGTGCATCGACTTTTCAACAGGAGAACCACCAGAATCAAGTGCAAAAGATTACTTTCAAGTGCAACTTCTAAAACAAGAGTGTACTAATCTGCTTAGCAAACCTTCTTTTATTTCTAATCTGTGTTTTGCTGTAGACCATCCATTTCATCAACAAAAGGTTATTTTACTTTTTATTTAGGTTAAGGTTATGAAATTAGTATATATGTTTAGTATGTGTGTATATGTATATACACATATATGTAGACAGCTAAATATTAAACACTTCTCTATATTACATAGTTTTTGAAATAAACAACTTTCATTGATTTTAACTTTACTTTTTCAGACTTTGAATCCATCACCAAAGTTTTTTTTACGTTTAAAAAAGGTACTTGGCTTAACTCTGGTACAAGAAGTTGCATTTGCAATTGCATTGCTGCACTCTGAGAATACTGAAATTCGTACATTAGCTTTAGAGCACGTTCAAAAGCAGCTGCCTGAGTTGATAAAAAATTACATTAATTCTGAGACAAGCAATAGGCATCACGAGGAAGGATTGCACGATTCCTTACCTGAAGTTCTTCATCTTATATTATCTCAAGCTTTTCACTCAGCCAATCAATTTGGCCTTTCATCAGAATCAAAAGAAAAATTTCTCAAGAATTTAAGGCGCGATTTTCCCCGTGAGCTGGTACCAGTGGTGCTAGCACCACTCTTGTACCCAGACAACGGGGAAACTCCGCAAGCGAAAATTGAACTAAACATGGCTGTTAATCAAATGGTAAAGGGATTATAAGTAATGTTAGATATTGTACAATTATTTTGCTATATCCTAAATATAATATTTTAAAATATATGTAATATATGTTTCTTAGGATGGGAATTCTCTAGTAGAATTGATTATGGAATTAGGATATGGATTCACTAGCAGTGTTGAAGAATGTCGATCAGCCTTAGCTGGCCTAGGAGCTCGAGAAATATCTCCAGCATGTGCTGCAAGAGTTTTAGCTCATATGGCACGTAGCTGTAATAGTCTTGATGATGCTGGAGGATTACAATCATTTTGGGGTAATTCAGGAGCTGCACAAGATGCAAACAAGGAAAAGCCAAGTGATAGTGCTCCTCCTACTACATGGAATGTTGAAGTTTTTGTTCAAGCTTTAAAAGAAATTGTAAGTATTAGTAATTGATATCCAATAATTTTATATGCTAAATTAATATCAAGTATTAAATTCTGCTATAATTTTACTCAATTTTAGCAATCAACATTAGCTTGGAATGATGTAATAGTTAAGTTGGATCATGCAGAATTTGTTATCAAAGATAGACAAGGACTGAATTTGTTGATCACAGGATTAAGATTAGGATTACAACATCAAGGATTCCCTCCAGATATGTTTCCTGTGGAACTGTTTTATCGTCACTGGGATAATGTAGAAG